TCTAGTTCAGTTCTAGTTCAGTTCTAGTTCAGTTCTAGTTCAGTTCTAGTTCAGTTCAAGTTCTGTTCTAGTTCAGTTCTAGTTCTGTTCTAGTTCAGTTCTAGTTCAGTTCTAGTTCAGTTCTAGTTCAGTTCTAGTTCAGTTCTAGTTCAGTTCTAGTTCAGTTCTAGTTCAGTTCTAGTTCAGTTCTAGTTCAGTTCTAGTTCAGTTCTAGTTCTGTTCTAGTTCAGTTCTAGTTCATTTCTAGTTCAGTTCTAGTTCAGTTCTAGTTCTGTTCTAGTTCTGTTCTAGTTCTGTTCTAGTTCTGTTCTAGTTCTGTTCTAGTTCAGTTCTAGTTCAGTTCTAGTTCAGTTCTAGTTCAGTTCTAGTTCAGTTCTAGTTCAGTTCTAGTTCAGTCTTCTAGTTCAGTTCTAGTTCAGTTCTAGTTCAGTTCTAGTTCAGTTCTAGTTCAGTTCTAGTTCAGTTCTAGTTCAGTTCTAGTTCAGTTCTAGTTCAGTTCTAGTTCAGTTCTAGTTCAGTTCTAGTTCAGTTCTAGTTCAGTTCTAGTTCAGTTCTAGTTCAGTTCTAGTTCAGTTCTAGTTCAGTTCTAGTTCAGTTCTAGTTCAGTTCTAGTTCAGTTCTAGTTCAGTTCTAGTTCAGTTCAAGTTCAGTTCTAGTTCAGTTCTAGCTCAGTTCTAGTTCAGTTCTAGTTCAGTTCTAGTTCAGTTCTAGTTCAGTTCTAGTTCAGTTCTAGTTCAGTTCTAGTTCAGTTCTAGTTCAGTTCTAGTTCAGTTCTAGTTTAGTTCTAGTTCAAATCTAGTTCAGTTCTAGTTCAGTTCTAGTTCAGTTCTAGTTCAGTTCTAGTTTAGTTCTAGTTCAGTTCTAGTTCAGTTCTAGTTTAGTTCTAGTTCAAATCTAGTTCAGTTCTAGTTCAGTTCTAGTTCAGCTCTGGTTCAGTTCTAGTTCAGTTCTAGTTCAGCTCTGGTTCAGTTCTAGTTCAGTTCTAGTTCAGTTCTAGTTCAGTTCTAGTTCAGTTCTAGTTCAGTTCTAGTTCAGTTCTAGTTCAGTTCTCGTTCGGTTCTAGTTCAGTTCTAGTTCAGTTCTATTTCAGTTCTAGTTCAGTTCTAGTTCAGTTCTAGTTCAGTTCTAGTTCAGTTCTAGTTCAGTTCTAGTTCAGTTCTAGTTCAGTTCTAGTTTAGTTCTAGTTCAGTTCTAGTTCAGTTCTAGTTTAGTTCTAGTTCAAATCTAGTTCAGTTCTAGTTCAGCTCTGGTTCAGTTCTAGTTCAGTTCTAGTTCAGTTCTAGTTCAGTTCTAGTTCAGTTCTAGTTCAGTTCTAGTTCAGTTCTAGTTCAGTTCTAGTTCAGTTCTAGCTCAGTTCTAGTTCAGTTCTAGTTCAGTTCTAGTTCAGTTCTAGTTCAGTTCTAGTTCAGTTCTAGTTCAGTTCTAGTACAGTTCTAGTACAGTTCTAGTACAGTTCTAGTACAGTTCTAGTTCATAGTTCAGTTCTAGATCAGTTCTAGTTCAGTTCTAGTTCAGTTCTAGTTCAGTTCTAGTTCAGTTCTCGTTCGGTTCTAGTTCAGTTCTAGTTCAGTTCTAGTTCAGTTCTAGTTCAGTTCTAGTTCAGTTCTAGTTCAGATCTAGTTCAGTTCTAGTTCAGTTCTAGTTCAGTTCTAGTTCAGATCTAGTTCAGTTCTAGTTCAGTTCTAGTTCAGTTCTAGTTCAGTTCTAGTTCAGTTCTAGTTCAGTTCTAGTTCAGTACTAGTTTAGTTCTAGTTCAGTTCTAGTTCAGTTCTAGTTCAGTTCTACTTCAGTTCTAGTTCAGTTCTAGTTCAGTTCTAGTTCAGCTCTAGTTCAGTTCTAGTTCTGTTTCTAGTTCAGTTCTAGTTCAGTTCTACTTCAGTTCTAGTTCAGTTCTAGTTCAGTTCAAGTTCAGTTCTAGTTCAGTTCTAGTTCTGTTCTAGTTCAGTTCTAGTTCAGTTCTAGTTCAGTTCTAGTTCAGTTCTAGTTCAGTTCTAGTTCAGTTCTAGTTCAGCTCTAGTTCAGTTCTAGTTCAGTTCTAGTTCAGTTCTAGTTCAGTTCTAGTTCAGTTCTAGTTCAGTTCTAGAGTTCAGTTCTAGTTCAGTTCTTGTTCAGTTCTAGTTCAGTACTAGTTCTGTTCTAGTTCTGTTCTAGTTCTGTTCTAGTTCTGTTCTAGTTCAGTTCTAGTTCAGTTCTAGTTCTGTTCTAGTTCTGTTCTAGTTCATCTCCAGTTCAGTTCTATTTTCGTGGAAAGCAAACTTTATTATGATATTGTTGAAAAACCTGGCCAGTAGCATTTAAAATTACTCTAAATAAAAAACCGCTATATTGTTAACATCGCCCATAAAATACCATTCGAAATGGAATTTCTCGTTTCATACAATAATTGGACGTTGTAACGTAAACACGTTTGTGCGGAAAAACGTTTAACACTACAGCCGGTTAGTGTTGTTGTCGTTAAGATAATTAAAACCAACAACAACAAAATAAACAATTATAAACACACAGTTGGTTGCAAGAAGCAAGTGTTTTCATTATTTACTTTTAACGAATAACGAGAGCAAAATTTTGTTTGAAACGAACAATTGAATAAACAGAAAACGTGCTGCAGCGGCTGCTAGCACTTCCACCAAGTCTGGGCTGCCAGAGTATAGTCGTACTATGTTTGATAAACTGAGGGTAGGTCGGTTTTACGAAAGAAAGAATTTTTGTCTGACGATTTAGTTTTTGCATAAACAAAACGGACTGATTGCGTGTGTGTGTGTGTGTGTAGGTTGGAGTGGTTAGAATAAGTTGAACAAAAATTCCAATGGGCGCATTTAGTCGCGTTGCAAACGTCGACACAACCGGTCGTGTTAAACGGAGCTTTTGGGAATATATTATATAAGTGAAACATTTTTAACTTGGAGGAAATAAAAATCTTATAAGAATTTTTTAAAGAAATATTTAAAGTGTTTTGATATAAAAATTTAACAATTTTATTAAATTTTAAATAAAACAAAAAAGATTTTTTCGAAAATAAAAATTTAATTACTTTCTAACTCACTTTTAGGGTTAATAATTTGCAAAAAAAAAACATCTTGATTTAACAACACTGATTCAAGGTTGTATTTGATAACAGCACGTGCTGCTAACGGTATTTTTCTTGTTTATTTGTTTGTCGTGTTAATTCCTTTCGCCTGTGTTTGTAAGTGTGTGCAAATTGGTTTCGCGTGAGCAAATTATAACGTTGTGTGAGTTTTGTTGTTTACATTTTGTTGTTATTTTTGCCTTAATCATTATTTCAATCTAACAAAAGAGTAATAAAACAAACGGAAAACAAAATCAACGACCAAAACCAATTAATTTGAATTAATTCTCAAGCGTTTAATGAAATTAAAATTTCAAATGAATGATTAAAAAAATACAGAAAAATGTGGGTGTTTAAAGATTTTAGTTCGTTTTAAAAAGCCATAATTAAAAAAGGATTTTTTGGTGTAAAATACAATTTTTAAATTTGTGTCACTAGTCTGCAAATTAATGGAATTACTGGAATTGGATTTAAATTGTAAAAGAGAAATTATCATTTAGAAGATCTCCATACGATCTTTGTGAAAGTTTGTTATGGTAAGTTATATTTCAATTTTGTAATTAAAAATCAGAAAAATAAAAATTAGTTTTTTTGAATGGGTCCTCAGTTCCCTACCGGCGATTGAAAATATTGATCTCTGCAATCTTAATTGTTCCAAAACTGTGTCGTAGTTTATCCTGTATGTCTTATTCTTTTGCAACACATCGAAATATTGGTCATTGGCTCACTAAAGTATTTGCATTCAGACTCCTTATTAGATTTTAAGAAAATCTATTTAGTCCGTCCGTCTATAGATCGAAGTCGCATCAATAAGTTCATGAATTTAGCAATTTACGGCCTATTGACTGAACGTTTAACCAAGCTCATGTCAACTAGCAACTGTCAATTGACTCGTGCCAAAATTAGAAAAATCTTCGTCATTTAGTTTTTGTTTGACAGTCATTGATAGCTAAATACCATTGTGTCACATCAAAATATTGGCCATTGGCTCACTAAAGTATTTGTATTCAGACTCTTTATTAGATTTTAAGATAATCTATCTAGTCCGTCCGTTTGTAACACATCAAAATATTGGTCATTGGCTCACTACAGTATTTGTATTTAGACTCCTTATTAGATTTTAAGAGAATCTATACAGTCCGTCCGCCTATAGTTCGAAGTCGCGTCAATAAGTCCATGAATTTTGCAATTTACGGCCTATTGACTGAACATTTAATCGAGCTCATGTCAACGGGCAACTGTCAATTGACTACTGCCAAAATTTGAAAAATCTGCATCATTTAGTTTGTGCTTGACTGTCCTTCATAGCTAAATACCTCGTAACTAGAGGATAAAATTTTAAAAAGTGATCACAAAAGATGTCCCATAGTTGAGGTCTCAAACCTCAAACTGTTAAAACAAATTTACAATATGATGTTCACCGATCAGAGAGATTGAAATTCCTAGAAATTGTGAAAGTCATAGGCATCTCAAATAGCTTTATGGTTTTAAATTTGAATGATCTTTTTGTATCAAAAGTATTTTCGCCAAGCAAGGACCGTAATTGCTCACAATCATGAACACTAACATGTCACAAAAGATGTCAAACATTCTGTTCCCATATAGTTGAGGTCTATACAAACTGTAGAAACAAATTTACAATATAATGTTCTTGGTTTCCGAGACATTGAAATTACTAGAGATTGTGAAAGTCAAAGGCATCTCATATAGCTCCATGGTTTCAATTTGGAAAGATCTTTTTGTATCAAAAGTCTTTCCGCCAGGCAAGGACCGCAATTGTTCACAATCATGAACACTAACATGTCACAAAAAATGTCAAACATTCTGTTCCCATATAGATGAGGTCTATAAACCTCAAACAGTTGAAACAAATTTACAAATGTTCGTGGATTCCGAGAAATTGAAATTACTAGAGATTGTGAAAGTCATAGACATCTCATATAGCTCTATGGTTTCAATCTGGAAAGATCTTTTTGTATCAAAAGTCTTTCCGCCAGGCAATGACCGCAATTGCTCACAATCATGAACCTGAATAAAAGGGCCAGCGTAAAGAGATTTGACTCCAACAAAGACATATTCAAAAAATTGATGACAATTAAATCGTTAAATCTTAATTTGTATAATGTTATGGACCTCAAAGGAGACAATGTTTGCAAATTAAAATTAATTTTTCTTGCACAAACCGGCGCTTCAGTCAAAAAGTCACTCATAGACTTTATGAGTGATTCTTAAGGAATCGTGATAAAATCTGTAACAAGTTAGATTTATGTACGCAGTAATTATATTGTAAAATATGGCGTCTAACCTTAACTGACCCTACTAGCCCCATTATCATTCTATTAAATTTCATGAAGATCGGTGCATAACTGACTCTACTCCTTATATAACTTCTCTTAATAAATCATTAAATTCGACAAAATTTGATTTGTTTTAAAACTTTTGTCACCCTTTTAGAGTTCTCCGTTCAAGATCCAAACTATCTTTAAACGATAATTAAATATCAACCGATTTGAAGGACGAGTAAACAAAATGATATCTTTATAATTGAGTAGCAAACATTCAAATGTTTAAGTTTTTTAAGGCCTTATAAAAGATGCCTCAACGTCTCTCATCTACATCTTATTTACCTGATCTATATCCGAACTAAAATAGAGTAAAATATCTAGGGTTGGAGCACCAAGTACTCTTTCTGTCATCTATTTCCATAATTTTTCATCTTTAGTCTTCTTAATTTTTAAAACCTTGATTAATATTTACTTTTGTCAATTAAAACAAATTTTATTTCAAACCAATTACCGATTTTTCTGTCAAGTCGTACCGAAGTCCCAGCACCTTTTTCCCGCTGTTTTACTATTTTTTGCTATTTATTCGACTGTAAATTTCGTTAAATTTTTAACAAAATTATCTCAAATTAATCTTTAAAAACCAGAAACCCTTTTAAATTAAATTAAAAAGAAATCACTCACCTTATTTAACATTTGTTTCCTTTCCGTCAACAATCTTATTATCTCCTTTTCACATAATTTTAATTAGCTTTTTATTAAATTTTATATTTCTCTTTTATTTTGAAGCTTTTTTATTTACTTTGACAACTTTTTTCTATTTTCTAAGCTTTTTTCTTACAAAGATCTACACTTGATTTCCTTCTTATTTACTTTACCATAATTACAAGCTTTTACTTATTTGAAGCTTGTAAAAGCTTTTCTTTTCTCATTAATCACATTTTTTTCCACTTTCTAACCAACACTCCCCTACCCGCACACCAACACACACACACACTTATTAACAACGAATGACCAAACTAAAGGCAACATCAAGAACGGCTATGCATTTTATTTTTTTCCAACAAATTTTGCTACACTATTTTTTCTAATTTACACATTACTTTTTAACAATATTTTTGCACAAAACGTTTAACAAACATTTAAATTTTATATTTATGCAAAAATATTAACAATTTATTAACTTTTAACCAGATTTATTTATCAATTAAACGACCACTAATCACCAAACAACCGAACACTTGCGAAATTTCTAGAAAACTAAAAGAAAACAATGCAAGTTATGTTTCTATTGCTATTGTTGTTGTTGCTGCTGTCATTATTCGATTTGTACCAGGCATGGAAAATTGAAATTTTGAAAGTATGTACTAAATAAATTTTCCTTTGGGGTAGAGGTCCGATTATAGACTAGACAATAGACTAGACTATAGACTAGACTAGACTATAGACTATAGACTAGACTAGACTAGACTAGACTAGACTAGACTAGACTAGACTAGACTAGACTAGACTAGACTATAGACTAGACTATAGACTAAACTATAGACTAGACTAAAGAATAGACTAAAGATTAGGCTATAGACTAAACTATAGACTAGACTAGTCTATAGACTAGACTATAGACTAGACTAGTCTATAGACTAGACTATAGACTAGACTATAGACTAGACTATAGACTAGACTATAGACTAGACTATAGACTAGACAATAGACTAGACTATAGACTAGTCTATAGACTAGACAATAGACTAGACTATAGACTAGACTATAGACTAGACTATAGACTAAACTATAGACTAGACTAAAGAATAGACTAAAGACTAGGCTATAGACTAAACTATAGACTAACTAGTCTATAGACTAGACTATAGACTAGACTAGTCTATAGACTAGACTATAGACTAGACTATAGACTAGACTATAGACTAGACTATAGACTAGACTATAGACAGACTATAGACTAGACTATAGACTAGACTATAGACTAGACTATAGACGACTATAGACTAGACTATAGACTAGACATAGAGACTATAGACTAGACTATAGACTAGACTATAGACTAGACTATAGACTAGACTATAGACTAGACTATAGACTAGACTATAGACTAGACTATAGACTAGACTAGACTATAGACTAGACTATAGACTAGACTATAGACTAGACTATAGACTAGACTATAGACTAGACTATAGGACTAGACTATAGACTAGACTATAGATTAGACTATAGACTAGACTTAGACTATAGACTAGACTAGACTAGACTATAGACTAGACTATAGACTAGATATAGACTAGACTATAGACTAGACTATAGACTAGACTATAGACTAGACTATAGACTAGACTATAGACTAGACTAAGACTAGACTATAGACAGACTATAGACTAGACTATAGACTAGACTATAGACTAGACTATAGACTAGACTATAGACTAGACTATAGACTAGACTATAGACTAGACTATAGACTAGACTATAGACTAGACTATAGACTAGACTATAGACTAGACTATAGACTAGACTATAGACTGACTATAGACTAGACTATAGACTAGACTATAGACTAGACTATAGACTAGACTATAGACTAGACTATAGACTAGACTATAGACTAGACTAGACTAGACTAGACTATACACTAGAGTATAGACAAGACTATAGACTAGACTATACACTAGAGTATAGACTAGACTATAGAATAGACTATAGACTAGACTATAGACTAGACTATAGACTAGACTATAGACTAGACTATAGACTAGACTATAGACTAAACTATAGACTATACTTTAGACTAGACTATAGACTAAACTATAGACGAGACTATGGACTCGTTAAGTAGAAGAGTTGTTAATGATGGTCTTTCCATAAATCGACTTTAAAATCAAAATCGACTTTTTGTCTTAACGAAGTCTTTACGTCGACTATCTTTTATCTTTATGATGCTCGCTTTTTTTCAAAAGTCGAAGAATCGACCTTTGCCGGAAAAAGTCGAAGTCGACTCTTTGTCTTAACGAAGTCTTTACGTCGACTATCTTTTATCTTTATAATGCTCGCTTTTTTTCAAATTAAGTTAAATTTCACTACATTTTTGCATTCGCCTTAATACCACCTGCAAAACAAAATCCCAACCCTGTCATTATTCCTTTATTTACATTTTACTAAATATTTCCTATTTGACATTCACTAATAAATCTCCTTAACATCTTGCTCTTAATCTATTTACGCACGTTTTATTATTATCC